AAGTGGATTTAAATTCACCCCATTGCACAAGCAAGCGGCTATCAAGACTCAGTAGCTAAGTGAATAACGCGATGGCGTTTGAAGCGAATGGTACTGGGTTCCAGTCCCAGCGTGAAAATCAACTCTGGGATGCAGGTACATCCAGCTGACGAGTCTCAAGCAGGACGAAGCCCGCGTCCTGGATTCCACTGCTAGCCACTATCCATCATTGCTTACAAAAAGGTAAACATTTTGTTTAGAACTACCAAATATTTTGTTTCCTAAGTTGTTTTATATCAAAAGATTACAGTATACAAATAGATTCCAAAATATCGACGACTCATTCATGAAAGTGACTAATTATCGATAAAAATACTCTAAGTAATCGTACAGGAACATCGTTCATTTTGTTAAGCTGATACAAGTAAAATTAATTACGGATTTCTGACGAAAATGCAAGTCAAATTTCGTATTTTTGTTGTTGAAATTCTAAATTGTAAGATATCGAAAAGAAGGTGATAAATTGTGTGAGCTGAATAAGAGATTAACAATTCTACATATATATTGACGGATTATCAGATTTAACTAGATATGGTTTGTAGTGTCGGTTGCTTTGTATGACGACAGACCACAGGCGAACTCGAGGAAGCTGTAAGAGGCTCAGAAGGAGCCGAAGATATTCCATCCAATCACCTTTTGGAAGAATATTCTAGAATTCCTACCTGTAGCTTACTGATTGGGCAACGCTAATAACCCTCTGTATGCGGATTGGAGGACTGTAATGATAACTTCGTCCTTACTAAAAACTATAAATACCTGATAATTTTGTACTATAATTGACACTGTCTGGGAATAATATTCCTTTCATTAGTCTTCTGTCTTCTCATTGCGACTTGGAAGGGCTCTGACGTTCTAGTGCTCACGTTATACGCGGTATATCAAGAACAACCTTCAAGATATAACACTATGTTAAGCCCGTATAACTTATTCTAGCTTCTGAACAGGCCAATTTATTCATTCATTCACGTTATGACCTTGTTAATCTTTCGTTTATCAACCTTGATTTTTTTTATATGAGTGTATGTATGTGTACACTTCTTAGTCCATTCATCACAAATCTGTAGCTTATTTTTGTGTGACTATAAACATGGATTAACGCTTGGTTAAATGGAGTTGACTCACATACCTTCTCCACTGAACGTTATTTCGCTTCGCTCTCTTCTCATCGCTTCTCCGATATTTTGCCTGGATCAAAGATTGTATGAAATATACGTATTCGAAATTCACTCTCATATTTGACTTATTTAATTCTGTTATTGACTAACGCGATTTAAGTCGATGATTATATACGACGAATAGGTGACATATATATTTCAATAACAATCATTCATACAATCTATTTGGAGTCAGATCGCGGGCCACTAAATATACAAGAGAAGCTAGTTTGGTTGACTGACAATTTCAAAGTACACTGATACAATCTTGAGAAGATTTTTTCCCATACTTATTGTTCTCAAGAAATCATCGGTTTAACAAGCTAAACGAAAGAAACAATGTTTTCATATTTTTTACAGATCTACACAGAAATTGATAAAAGTAGTAAAGAAATTGAACTGGAGAAAAAAGAAACTGACTATTAGTTGTAACAAAATCAAATTGTCTTAAGATATTCCAAATACTCACCGAAAACTCTGAAGTCCCCAAGTGATTATAGAGCTTTCAGATTTCTGGCCGAAAATTCTATGAAACAATATGTTCTTACACACTTACATTTAAATAAATAATGAACGTGTAGTCACTTGTGATTAGCTGTGTTTAAGTTACTCGAAATTCTAGTGAGGAGCTGTGACCTATAAGGTGTTAACCATTTTAAGATTGAAGTAATTAAACCATGATAATATTGTCCATTGGTTCTAATCTATTTACAGTTGACTAAAATTGTCAATGAGGATTATTGATGTAAAGATATGGTACTATCATATTAACCTAAGTGTTCTAGGTGAAATGAGTAGATTAAATTGCGAAAGGGTCTTAGGCTAGGATAAAACTAATAATCAATACTACCTGATTTCCGATAACTTTCCATTTGATACTATCTATTAGTGAAAACTGTTTTCAAACTAAACAATTCTTTATCTAAACATATGTGGATAAATCTCATATACTGTCGGAATAATACTTCCACTGTCTCATTTCGGTTTGGTTACTCAAAGGTTTCTTCAAACTTACTTCTATTTTAATAATTGAGTTCATGAGTCAATTGAAGCTAAACCAACATAGAAAACATCGAAGCACTGGATGGCTGTGCCGTCCTAGTGTGGGACTCCTCAGCACTGCACATCTACGATCCCGCCCCTCGCGAAATTCGAACCCAGAACCTATCATTCTCATGCGCGAACGCTTAAGCATATCTTTGAGACTTGATATTAATCTCCCCTTAATTTAATTATAAAGATAATATGTTCTGATAATATGTTTTGATAGATACTTATGAAAGATTACCGAATTTACTATTCTGTTGAAAATTACACTATGCCGTCATTCAATATATAGATAAACCTTATATACTGTTAGCATTACTATACATCCACTGTAAATCAATGTCTCATCTCGATTCGGTTACTCAAAGCTTTTGTTTTACAAACTTATATCTATTTCATAGAATATTACACTTTGAATTAATTTAATGTTTATAATCACACAACACAAGTTCAAACTATCTCATTTGATGAAATATCATAGTTTTTATTTCATATTTATTCAATGTTTAATTTCACTAATAAAATCTTTCATAATTGAATTCATAAATAACTTCATAACTCGTTACAATTAAAAATGAATAGCTTTCCACTTATGGAGATACATTTTTGTTGTTGTTGTTGTGGTGGTGGTGGTGGACAAAATTCACCAATAAAAATTCAGCAAAATTAATATATATTGTGTAACGATGTGTAAATAATCCACCCTGTTTATATTTATTTATTTATTTATTTGTTTATTTACAATGTTTTATTGATTTATTTATTGCATCATTCTGAATGTTTACTTCTTTCTGATAACATGATATTTACAACAAATAAATTAGAATGATTCAATAGATTTGTGTAAATAAGAAAGAACTTATAAATAGTGAAAGAATGATTACATCATACATTAATTGTATGTATTCACCTTTTATTAAATAGTTCCTATTTGTTTCTGATTGTTTTATCATTTATTCAATATTTTTCTAAAAAAAAAAGAAAAGCAAAAACAAAAGCAAAAAAAAGAAGAAAATCATCAACTTGAATTAATACAAAATAATTTTTAAAAAATGAGAAAATTTTGGATAAAACATCATCAGACGATTTCAATCAATCTTGTTATATTTTGTTTTTTAATATTTAAAATGTCTGAATCCTTATTACAATATGGTAATCGTATTAATATTTATACAAATGTATGCCAAATAATAATAAGTCAATTAAATATAACATTTGATCAATTATGTCAATTTCATTATTATCATCATCATAATAAACAATATGAAATGGTTAGTAATGATTTACTTGTTAATATAAATACTTCTACTATTATAAATGATCATTCGAATACAAGTAATGAAATACAAATACAGAATAAAATGAATTATATAAGATCTATTCAATCTAATTTATATACTATACAAATGAATATACAAAAACTATCTGGATGGTATTTATTAATTTATCGTCTTTTAACTAATATACCAGCTATGTTAATATGTTTTATTTATGGTTTATTATTGAATAGAATAAGTCAAAATTATATTATGATTATACCATGTTTAGGATGTATTCTATCATGTATATTATTTATAATTAATTTATTACCAAATTTAAAATTAATAACAAATTCAATGATATTTATTTTAATTGGTGGTACACTATATGGATTATGTGGTAAAAGTAATGCAATAAATTTATGTGTTCATAGTTATATAACACAATATAGTAATAAAAATAAACGTACAAATATAATTGGACGTTTATTAGGTGTAAATTTTTTTGGTTTAGCAATTGGTGCATTATTACTTGGTATGTTTTATCGATTTTTAAATTATTTTGAAATGATTATATTTGTCATGATTGGTAATTTATTCATAATAATTATTTTATTATTTATGGTAAAAAATTCTAAAAAATCTTTGTTGAATTCTTCATCATCATCACCATCAACAACAACAACAACAACACATTTAGTAGAAGTAGTGATTAATCAATCTGATGAACAACATGTCGAACAGAGGGATTTGAATGATAACCTGACTGCTATTACTACTACTACTAATAATAATAATAATAATAATAATAATAGTACCAGCCATACGAACTCATATACACACGAGGAACATAAAACATATTGTCAAGATATAATTTCTTACTTATTAAAACCTTTATTTATATTAAAATCTTCTTATAAATTTCTATTTCCTAAACGTACTACTACTACTACTACTGATAATAATAATAATAATAATAATAATAAGCATATTTACTTATTAACCTTATTAAGTACAATATTATTAAAACAAATAACTAAATCTGGTGAACAAGATGTAACATTATTATATTTAATGAATCAATCAAATTTATTATGGAATACTGAATTATATGCATATTACATAACATGTTATTATAGTTTAATGTTTATACAATTAATTATATTATTACCAATTATAGAGAATAAATTTCTTATACGTGATACAACATTAATTATTATTGGTTTATTTACTGAAATGATACGTTTATTAATTTTAAGTTTATTACATCATAAAATATTGATCTTTTTAAGTGCTATAATTGGTTCACCAGCATGTTATATAACAACTTGTACAAAATCATTAATAAGTAAATTAGTAATATATAATGATGAATTAAATATAAGTTTGACAATTATATCTATAATAGAAATTATAGCTAATTTTATTGGTGGATTCTTATTTATATTTATATATAATAAAACTTTATTATATTATTCATCATTTATATTTATATTTGATGTGATATTAAATATACCAGTTATTATTATATTTATATGGTTAAGATATAAATTAATTGAATATGAATTAAATAGAAATTAAATTATTATGTAATTGTTTTTTCATTACATATCAATATAATTGTAATAATTATAATTAAAAAAAATGAAGTAATAGAAAGTGAATGAGAGTTAGTCACATTGATTACATCATCATCATCATCATCATCATCATCAGCAGCAGCAGCAGCAACAGCATCCTCATACCGTTTTCTTGATCTGATGAAATCAACCCATTTGAATTATTCAACCGACTCTTTTCATTTATAATAGAAAATGATCTATCTGGAAAACTTTCTTCGGCTTTCGGTACATAATTATCTGTTTCATTAGCATGTTGTAATATAGTGATAAGACGTTTTTTACCCATTATTGTATCATTTATTATACCATTATGATCATTTTCATAACTATCCGAATATGAATAATAATTATTTTGATGATAATTCCTAATGTTATTTGTGCCAACTATTGGCTTAACAATATATTGTCGTCTATTCATTAATGATGATATTTGATTGTTATTATTCATTACTGATTGTTTCGATCTATTACTTTTATCATCATTGATATCTCTTCGTGTACCGGCGCTAATTGATCTACGTGACTTTGTTCTATGTTGTGATGATTTGATTAATTTTGCTTCAGATGAATTATTCGATGATGTATAGCTTGTAACATCATCATCATCATCATTATCATCATTGTCAATGATACTTGTAACTAATAACATTGAAACGTTACTTAGTAACTGTACAAACACTTGTCATATTTATAATGAATAACAAAAATCTTAATTATACTTAAACATAATATGATTAAGTATTATATTCTGCACTTTTTTTTACTTCTCTCTTTGTTTTTCTTGCTTTTTTTCCTTTTGAATTATATACTACTTAATATAATATTGATTTACTATTAGTACAAGTGTATACTTCTTAAGAAATGGTATTGTTTTAATGAACATTTTCTATCTCTTTTTTTCTTTCAAAACAACAACATCTTCATTTTATTTCACATACAATACAATAAGTTTCATACACATAGATCCCATTTATTATCTTAAAGACAGCCAGAACTGCACTAATCTTCGTTTTCGTTCTCTCATTAAAATACAATAGGATACTTTCCTTATTTACATTATTCTAAAATAACATTTTATAAAACACTTATATTTAAGTCTTATCAATGATGAGTCGTTATTATTAAAATATTTTTGATATGATTTAATATTCTTAATTAATTTAAACAAAATTTGTGAATTATAATTATATTCATATAGTATAATCTGTAATACTGATATATTTGAATGATTTCAAACATTAAAATAAATTATATTGACCAAAGTTTAATGTTTTAAATGGATTCGAATCTCACGGGGGGTGGGATCGTGAATGTGCATTGTTGATGAGTCTCATGATAGGACGAAACAGCCGTCTAATGCTTCCAGGTTTTACGTCGTGGTCTAACTTCGATTGACTCAAGATCTCAACTATTAAAATTACTATAATATCTACAAAAAACACATCCTCATATTATTCAACATATGCTCATTAGTGATTGGCTTCAAGTGGTATTTCATAGAGTTCTAGTGAGAAGCAGTGACTAGTGGAGTTCAACTGGATCTGTTGTGAGATAGTAACTGATTGAAGACAATGGTGGATGTGTTGTTCAATTTTGTAGATTAGTTGAAGTTAGACATCGATAGACACCATTAGATAATGACCGACTCAATGATCTAGTGGTTAAGCGCTCGTACGCCAAACTGATGGGTCCTGCGTTCGAATTTAGCGGGGGGAGGCGTGATCGTTTATGTGTAGTGCTGATGAGGCGACACGGCTGTTCAATGCTTTCATATTGGTCTAGCTTTAACTGACCCATGATCTCAACCACTGAAATTTAACAAACCTCCAATTTCGAAAATTATTATAGTCAACCTACTTATGGTACACATAGAGTGGATTATCTTCACCAATGACATTAAACCACGAATTTGGCTTAGATACGTAGATGATAACTTTTTTATGAAAAAAAGAAAGACTTATTTAATATCTTTTTCGAGACGGCCTAATACACTTTCGTAGCACATTAAACTTACAAACGAGAATGAAAATGAAGATGGTGAGCTACTGTTTTTAGATTACTTAGTGAGAAGAAATCTAAATGGAATTCTAAATCTATCCATCCTATGAAAACCTACATACTCAAACCTTGACCGAAATGGCATTGATTTGTTCATATCTATTTTTTGATTGATCATACATAATATTCTTGTGTTGTTCCTATGTACTAATTAAACTTGAATTAATTTTGATTTGGTTATTTATTCTCTGAAAAATTGACTTACACTGAGCCACAAAACGTTGGAAAATTTGGTTTTTCTATTCATTAGGATATTGCAAATATATTAATTTTGTTTATAACAATTTACCCAATGCTCAGTTTATTTGAAATTATCAAAGCAAACCTTGGTAATGATACCTATATTGATCAAAGTTCAATCTTTCAAATGTGAATTAAACAAACCTCCAGTTTTGAATATTATGATTAATAACGGTGAATTAGTTTATTATAAATATAAAGATTGATAATAGAATTCAGTGCAGAAAGAGAGTATTCACCTGCGTTTTATATATTTTTAGTATTTTAATATATATAATTGTAACACTGAACATCGTACCCCTATGGATGATATTTATGAAAATAATTACGAAGTAAAAGATATATAAATGAAAATTATGGTGGTATATTGAATTATTTCCTTTTGTTTGAAATGTTGATTAGTCAGATAAGTTGTTCTACCGAAATTATGTCTTCTCCACGACCAAACCATCCAGCTCAGACAACAAAACTCCACCAAAATGTGTCTTCTTCGTTTATTGTATTGTCTACTTGTAGTGTTGTATATTACTGAAATATTCTTTTTGGAATTTCTTCAAAGTATTCTTGTTCATTCTTTCTCATTCGCTGTCTGATTTAATATTAATTTTTTGGTTGAGATCATGAACTGATTGATGTCAGACAACCATTGGAAACCTGGAGGCATTGGACGGCCGTTTCGTTCTATTGTGGGACTCCTCGGTAGTGCGCATCCACGATCCCGCTCGCGGGATTCCGATCCCGCGCGCAAACGCTTAACCCTTAAACCACTGAGTCAGCATTCAATGTGGTAATGTCTGACCTTAATCAGTCCGCGAAATTGCGCGACCATCTCCCATTCTGGATATGTCGGCGGCCTGCTTGAATATCTGGGCTACCTGTTTCTGCCATCTGATTATTTCAACAAGTTATCTATTTTCCGTTTGTTTTAATTTATAATTATGTCCATTAATCGCATAACCTGTTCAGGCGCTTTTATGAAAAGCCTACGACCTTTCGCTGCACAAGTTACGAAAAAGTACTATAAAAGACATTGTGGTGGTTGGCAATATGCGTTAAAGAGAATGAACATTAATCGTATGTCGATTCCCGAGCTGCTAAATTTTAACTGCCGATCATTAATCAACAAAGTGGACTATCTGCAATTCCTACTTAGTCAAAATACGTATCGTAATTGTGGTGTCATCACAATTCAAGAATCTTGGTTGAATGATTTACAGGATGACTGCCTTGTATCACTACGTGGTTTTAAATTTTATCGTCAGGATTGATCGAACAATAAAAAGAGGTGTGGTGGCGGTATAGCTACGTTTGTAAACATGAACTGGTGTCGATCTTCGTTTGCGTGTTTTAAGTTTTCAAATGACTTTATCGACTGTCTAACTCTAAGATGTCGTCCAAAACATCTAAATAAATACAAATATGTTTATGTTACCAATATCTACGTGACTCCAGATTGCACATCATCTGCACTATCTGTTTTTGCTGATGAATTCACTGAGTTCGCTGTTACTACCATCAGTGATTCACTTTCAGTTGTATGTGGTGATTTCAATTCATGTGACTGTAGCTTCCTTACGTCACTAGGTCACCAAAATGTAGTAGATTTTCCTACCCGTCTGGATGCTCATCTAGACTTCGTCTTCATTAATGATGTGGGTATATATGCGACTCGTAAACGTGCTCCATTGTCTAGCTGAGATCACTGTATAATTCGCGTTCTACCTAAAGTATATGGAAAGCATGGGAAGAGTACACTCTTACGTCAAACCAAGAAAGTCAAATATAGGAATTACTCAGAAGAAAATATCCGAAATCTGAAAAACATGTTTCATACGACTAACTGGGAATTATTTACAGATGACTCACTGAAAAACACTGCTGTTGTTATCACTTGTTACCTTAAATTCTGTTTTGATATTTGTTGTCCCACTGAAACCATTTTTGTAAGTTTTGATCGACTTACATCTACACAACTAAAACGACTACGGAGGATGAAAGACAGATTGTACAAAGAGAAGAACTCTAATGAAGTTCGTAAGCTAAATGGTCTGATAAACCTAGAGATTAGACGTCTCAACTGTATGTTTACTCAAAAGCTCTTATCTTGCAAAAACTCTTCAAGTATGTGGAAATTCTTCAAAGAACTTACAGATGACAGAAAGTTTAGAAGCGATAACCAGCTGAATGTTTGTGACTTAAATAAGTCTTTTGTACGTCAGTCATATGATGTGATGCTCCCTCTACCCACGGGTTTAAAAAATAGCTGTGTTCCCACTTTCACTGAAACTGATGTACGAGGATGTCTCCAGTCGCTTAATTCATCTCGATGTTTGGGACCTGATGGTATCCCGAACATCCTTTTTAAAAAATGTGCTGACGTTCTATGTCATCCGTTCACAATTTTCTTTAACAGATCCTTCTCATCTAATCTCATACCGAAAATGTGGAGAAAGATGAAGATAATTCCTGTACTTAAGAAAGTATTTGGTGATAAGAATGTAAAATTTAGACCCATTGCAATAACTTCACCCTTCCTCAAAACCATGGAAAAATTATTATTACTTCCACTTCAGCCTGCGATAAAAGAGCATACTGACCCATACCAGTTTGCTTACAGGCGCAAAAGAAGCACTTTAGATGCTGTTGCAGTTCTGCATCACAACATAGTGTTCAACTTAGAAATGGGTAAGAAGTATGTTCGATGTGCTTTTCTGGACTATACTTCAGCTTTTGATTCTATACCAAGACAACGTTTAATTAACAAGTTAGTCAGCGTCATCACTGACAGCTAGATAACCAACTGGCTATGTTCCTACCTCTCTGGAAGGGAACAGTACACTGTGTTTGGAGGAAAGTGTTCAGAGTTTCTACTGTCTCATGAAGGTGTACATGTACTACAAGGAGCTGTTCTTTCACCTCTTCTTTTCTCTTTTTTTCTGCATGATCTGCCATCTTACACAGAAAACATTGCTGTGAAATATGCGAATGATCTCACTGTATGTATGCCTATCTCTTCCTCTTTACATCCCATAGAAATGAATGAGTTTTTGTCTCGTATTGATTTTTGGTCTGTTGGTAATGGTCTCATACTTAATCCGTCTAAATGTAAAGCTGTTAACTTTAGCATGAGACATGAACGGAATATAAACACTATTTTGAGATCCCATAGTGCTTGTACCATCGGAGACTCTTTGATAAACTCAGTGTTGAAGGTCAATTATCTTGGTGTCACCTTTTCCTGTGATCTGTTTTGGTCTTCCCACGTTTTATTGTTATCGAAGAAGGTTTTCCGTCTGACCTACTACATAAAGAGATTGCATGCTCTTGGGATTACTCGTCATTTACTCTTACAATTTGTCAATTCTTGCATATTACCTATTATTCTTTACTGTTCTCTATTATTCTTTCCCGGGCCTTTGAGAAAAGACTTTGCTGTATTGCGGAGAGTGCTGAAGGCAGTTAGCAAGATGTGTGGTGAATCTTTCGAGATCATAATTAATATGGTTGTGGATAGACATTTAAAATCATGCAAACTCCTGGCAGGTGTTATCATATCAGATACTAACCATCCCCTTCACTCATATCTTTCTCCTTATATATCCTCTGGTAGAACGAGACGCAATTACATTAAAATCCATGCACACAAGGAAAAGTATAGAAGTTCTGTAATACCTTACCTAGCAAATATACTCTGTGACGAACAGGTTGTTAGAGTTAACCCAGTCAATAATCTACATTCTTAACATGTCTCTAATTTGAAAAGTTGTACATTTTTTCGGGTTTTTTTTCATTTTTTCTTTGTATTCGTTACTGATTTTTCTTGTTGTTGTTGCGTAAGTAGCTTGTTGAAATACACTGTGCTGAGAACTCTATATTGTACCAAAACTATAATATTGAATAAAGCCATTAATAATAAATAAATAAATAAATGTAGATACCTCTCTCTACGCGACACGGATTAGCTCCACTGGTCTTGGCTTCTCATTAGGACTCCGAGAGGTTAAGCGTTTGCTCGCGAGACTGAAGATCCTGGGTTGGAATCCCGCAAGCGGGATCGTGGATGCGCACTTCTGAGGAGTCCCGCAATAGGACGAAACGGCAGTCCAATGCTTCTAGGTTTTCCACAGTGGTCTAACATCGATCGGTTCATGATCTCAACCAAAAACTTAATAATCGCCACAACGCTATACTGTTAATCTTAATTAACAGTTGAATATTACCGAACACTGTACACTCGCATTGGTTTTCGCTAGTCTTCATAATTTAATAATGAGTTAAGCAGTTTTCGTTTTTTAATTCGTAAAATTCTATTTCTTTGTTTACTTATCTAATAATCTGTAAGATATTGAATTCAAACACAAAAAAAAACAATTTGAATACTTTAAATGTTTCTCGTACACTACTCGATTACACGGTATTGATTACTTCAGTTACATGTTGTAGAGAAACTAATCTTCATGATTTAACTAGCTTAAATCACAATCTATAAACATTCAGTAACTATGCATACCATTTAATACATTAGTTTGAATCCATACGAAAAGCTGAAATATACTGCGTTTAAGCAATTAAATTCACCAATTTTTTCGACATTACTCATCGAATCTAATTGCACATACTATTGTATTTTGTCTTTTTCACATTATTAAAATCTTTTGTGGTAAATTCTTAATTAAAACAGTTTATTAATCAAGTCTTTTCAAGTAATGCACCCTCATTTTTTGAAGTGTCATATTCCTTTTTTCATTGAAATTCATCGATTTGGAAGATTTTAACTGTTTACTTCAGTATTTCAAAAGTTATCGATTTCAGGCAAATACATTGATGTAACTCATTATCTGTAAAATGTTCAGGGATATAAACAAAACTAATTACTGCTCAGTCTAGTTCTCTCAGTGTACTTTATTCATCATTTTCACTGACAGATTAATTGAAGTATTCTTTATATACTGACTACTAAAATGTTTAAACGACTAGGTACACTATGATGGAAAATGAGATATGGTTGAGTGATTGATGTAAATTAATCTCTAGTTGATTGAAATCGAATCTTCTCAGCTTTTGATGATTTGTTAATTCAACTTCAACTCACCTTTTAAACAAATAACATAAGTTCAAATGACATTTTTTTGAATAAAGCAATTTCCTCATTACAATAACCAATAAATGATAAATTTTGTACAAGTAATAATATCACAGATGACATAGAAACGATCACCAATACAAATATGAGTTCGTATAGAACAACAAAATCTAAACATATACATTTTAGTACGGTTGGATAATGACTGACATAATATGCTTGTTTTTATTATTTACATAGTTGGAAATTAACTGGTCTACTTATTTAATTAGGCCATAAAATCTCTTTAAAGCTTTCAATTCGACTTAATATATTTGTGAAAATCATTGAATAGAAATCAGTTTTATGCAAAACTTTAGTGACATTTTTATGTTTTTCATTGATGAAATGAGAAGAGAAAGTCGATTTAAATAAGTATAAATGATTTATTTGCAATAATACACATAAATACTGTACGAAACCCACGACCCCGCACCACGCCTGGCTCGAACCCAGGACCTACTGGCTTCGCGCGCGAGCACTTAACCACTAGACCATTGAGCCGGCATCCAACGGTGTTAATGTCTAACTCCAACCAATCCACAAAGTTGCGCCACCGTACACCATTGTCTTCAGTGAGTTGTTATCTCACAACAGACCGGTTGAACTCCACTGGTAACGGCTTCTCACTAGAACTTCAGGAGTTTTTCCTGAAGTCAGTCACTAGTGAGCAGTTGATTATTATTATCAGAATGGGTTTTGTGGAGAATTTTAGAAATTTTACAGTTTGAAATCATGAGTCAGTGCGCGTCCACGATCCCGCTGAGGAGTCCCATACCAGGACGAAACGGCCGTCCAGTGCTTCCAGGTTTTCAATGGTGGTCTAGCTTCAACTGACTCATGATTTCAAACTGTGAAATTTCTAAAATTCTCCACAAAACCCATACTGTACGAAATTTTGATTACACATTTTTCCTATTTTTCCTTCTCAGAATATATCACTAAACAGTCTTCTAAACCTTGTCAACCTCCGAGTTGCATACTTTGTAACCTTATAACAGTGACTCATGTAATCCGATGTATAACGTATGTGTCCAACCATTTCTAGAACGCTGCAATTTTATTCTGTATAATGTTCACATAAAAGATAAAATTAAGTTGGAATCCGTTCAGATATGAATTACATTTCAAATTCTTGGGAGTGGCAGCAAAATCCGACGTTGCTGGATAGTAGAGGGAACTTTGCTAGCCAACTTAGGCGGTCGACGGAGACCAGACTGATCACCTAATCCGAGGCTCACCAAATGGCATCGGTTCATCTGATATCTTTACTTATGTATAAGAACTTCAGAAGTCCTTGGGTCTATGTAATTCATGTATATAAGTATATGCGAAGGGTGTGAGTGTGGTGCCATACAAAGAAAATGTTAGCTAAAATATTTCTGCCTAATATTTCTGTTTAATAAAATCAACCACTTAGTCTATCAAGTTGAAGTCACAATAAAAAGATTTGGTAGCAAATACTAGCGAGAGGCGACCAACAACCTCCGCTGAGGGAATGCTTAGGCTTATTTGTGTTTCAGGAAGTACTGAGACGGTAGCCATGGTCTGAATGATATGCATGTAATGTGTAAGAGACAGTCATTCTAGAAAATACGTTTCCAAGGGAGTGTTGAACGTCTACCATCCCAAGTGGGTGAATATACCTACATGTATGCCATGGGGTGCACGAGATAAAATCTGTGTGTTACCGGTGTGCATGTAAATTATACTTGCTCACAGGATAGGCATGCTTGTGTGTATACCAAGGAATACTGGGATGAAATTGAGTGTGTTATTTGGTACGGATATAGACTATACTTATCCAGGATAAGCAAACCTCAAAATGTCCTTTACTTGCTCTCCTTACGATACAAGCAAAGACCTGGAGGGTCGCGGTTCCCCACAAAATCATATCCGCGCAGTGCGTTTGTGAAGACTGAAAACATGGAATCCATTCCAGAAGAGCCTATGTAAGCTTCATCAGAAGGAGCTTCATCAACCAATCTGGATGGAATACCATTCTTGGGAGTGATTATACATTAGAATACAAATCCAGAAGCAATAAGCTGGACAATATATGAAAGCAGAGATTTCAACTAGATCTAATCTTTTTCTTTAAAATACTCAATAAACTATCTCTTAGACCCACTAATACAATCAAGAAACACCTAGTTATAACTTCCCCAACTCCTTATCATCAATGAAATTGTCTCATTATAAATCTTATCTGTATATGAATTACTTTGCTTGTAAATTTTTGAAACTCTGGAATAGTTTGTCACAATCTGTCAGTGAAATAAAATCACTGACATTCTTTTCCTTTATAGCATCGATAGGACAAAACATGCGTCCTGGATTCCACTACTAGCCAACATCCACTTCTGCTTAGAATGCTTGTAAATTAAAACAATATCACGGTAATTCGTACAGGATGCACATATACCAATAAGACATTAATCAATTACAGTTCTAAACATCAATGGGAAGTGTTATATCCCTTTGAAAACAATGAATGGTAACTTTTGGGACTCATTTATGAACCATTACTACGTGTACATTTTTATCGTATAACTATTAAATAACTAAACTATTCATATTCGTGTTCTTCTTATTATGAGCCTTATTTTGACCTATGAACTATTATTATACGATTTACTATTCTTACATTATGCCCTGTCTATTAATTACTACCTCCCTCATTCACAGCCACATTCGGCTAAATCTTGTACAAATGTTGTTTCCTATTTTATGGTACGATGTGATGTGTGTGATTGGTATATAAACCCAGTATGTTTGAAATAAATGATTCATATTGCAGAGGCTGAGATTAGTGTTCTGGACTTAACAGGCTAGGCTAGATGGGAAGCAGAATCGATAAGTACTCTATGTAGTGAACAAGAACACCGATGGGGAACAATCGAATGTATTTAACACAAAATTACAGGACTTATTAATAAAATCTAACAATCATAAAGTAAATGCTTAATTTACAAAATGTTCACCAATTGTCACAAAATGACTCAAACTTCATTGTTCTTGCATTCTCATACAAATTGTATCCTGTTTTCATTATTTACTATTCGATTCTCTTGTCTCTCTGCTTTCAGACCTTCTGTTCACAACTAACATCATATACTACTTATGTCAATATAAGTAGCACACACCACATTCTAGATTGCTCGTATGGATTTTATGCATCATTGGTCCAATCGATAATTCACTATTTTCTAATTGGCTATATCATTACATTATACAATAACAGAGTACAGAGGTCACAAATTATAAAAGAAACATTTAAATAAACAATACCAAATGAATCTATTGTTTTATTGTTTGCATTTTACATTTCTCTCTCTCTCTTTCTTGTTTTCATTGTTCTTTTATATATTATTGATTTATTTTCAATATTATTGATCATTTTGTTCAATATTTAAATTATTCTCAAATAAAATCAATTTAAAACGTAACCATATAAATAAAATCAATATTAATCCATGTAAAAATGCATCTAATATAAAAATAAATGATGACATCATAGTTATTGTATAATTATAAATAAGAGTAAATAATAAACCACCAAATAAATTTGCTATAGTTTCAAATATTGATATTAATGCAAATGATGCACCAATTTCTGTTTTATATATTAATTTACTTATGATAGAACGTGTTGCTGATGTTATATAACCAGCTGCTGAACCAATTATTGCACCAAAAAATAACCATTCTTTATGTTTTGTTATACTAAATAATAATAAACGTATTATTTTTAATAATAAACCAATAATAATAAATGTTGTATCATGTAATGAAAATTTTTGTTCAATTATTGGTAAAATAAAAATTAAATGTATAAACATACAACCATAATAACATGTTAAATAATAACTATATAATTGACTAGTCCATAATGTTGGTTCATTACGTAAATATAATAATATAATATCTTGTTCACCAGATTTTGTCATTTGATTAAATAATATAGTAAATAATAAAATTAATAATAATTGATGTTTTTCATTAGAATTTTTTTGAAATAAAAATTGATAAGATTGATAAAATTGTTCAATGATTAATTGAATAAATCCATAGGATGAGTTTCTATAATGATGATGATGATGATGATTATCGGATAGTTTCATTGAATTAGTACAATGTATTGATTTTTCATGATCATTATATTGTATTAATGAAGAATGATCATTTAATATTGGTATATTTTCATTAGTATTTGAATCAATAACCAAAAATAATAAAATTAAAACAATGAGAAAATTATTAATTGTACAAAATATAATTGAATCAGAATAATTGAAAAATGTTAAAAATATACCAAGTAATAATGTACCAATAGATAGACCAAGACAATTAACACCTAATAAACGACCAAGCATAGATGTACGATTATTGATATGAGTTAAATTAGTTATATAACTATTAGCACCCATTGTTATTGCACTACTTTTACCACATATACCATATATAAATCCACCAATTAATATAAATATAATTGAATAATTTATTAAATTATTATTTATTAATAATAAACTAATAGAAAATAATGTACATGCAATAATTGCACCTAAACATGGTATTAACATTGAAATTTTATAACCATATTTATTAGAATAAATACCATAAATAAAACATGCTATTGTAGCTGGTAAATTTAATAAAATACGATAAATTAATAAATAATATCCAGATAATCTTTGTACATGATATAATAATAATTGATTTTCTATAGAATCATTATTACTAATATTATTATTATTATTATTATTATTATTATCATTAGTTATTTCACCGGAACAAATAGTTTGTTGTAATTTTGTTGAATTGATTAATGATAAACATATAATTTTATATATTTCAATACGTGTACCATATTGTAATATTGTTTCTGTTAATTTATATATAAAAAAACAAAATATAATTAAATGAATAGATTGTTTTAAATGATTATTCCGTTGACTAAATAATGAGAACATTGAATATGTATATAAAAGGAATTTGATTTAGTTTTTTGTTTTCTTTCAAAAGTTGTTTTAATTGAATAATTTGAAAAAAGAAAAAAATATTTAAAAATAATTTCTATCAATTATAAATAACATTGGGATAAGAGAAATTAAGAAATTAAAATGTTCATCAAATGAATATATATATATATTTGAATCGATTATAAGAATTTTTAACCAATCAAATTACTTGTCAGATTGTAAGAAGCTGATTGGTTGAAATATTAAAAAAAATAAACAAACAGGACGAAACGCGTTTTCTGGTTTTCACTACTAACCACTATCTATTTTTGTTTAAACAAGCTTATGATTTAAGGTTATATTAAGGCAATCGTCACAGGATGCACATATTACCGACATGAGACTGATCAATTACAGTCCTGAATTTAAAAAAAAGGGAAGATAGAAGTAAAACTATACCAAGTGAATTTGAACAAATAATTCTTTGAGATTTTACAATTACATTCATTATTCTTAATGTTTTATATTAGCTTGGAGCTCAAATTTGGTGAAACCAGTCGATCAAATCTAGACGAATTTTCTTATAAATGGTTTATAACATTAAGAAGCCTTAGAATAATTTTATGGTTAATGTTGTATAAATAGATAAACAATTTATTTAGTGGGTCATAGTTGTCCTGCATTAATGTCAGTTAAGGTAACTAAATTAAACCGAAAATAAACGTCGATAACTATTGACTGTCAGCAAAGATTGACCAATTTCATAAAGTTATTCAGTAGCAATATATATTAATCGTAAGGTATAATTAAGAATTCGCAAGATCTATGCACATAGTTCATACAATTCTACTTCATATTTTTCAATTATGAACGTTAGGTTAACAGGTGGAATTTGATTCTATTTGTAGTTAATACAGTCGTTTTTACTCCAGTTGAATAGCTTCTAGCAGTGGTATCCACAACACGCGTTTCGTCCTTGTGGAGAATCGTCAGCTAGATGCATATGCATTCACTCAAGATTTTCATAGTTTGGGATTAACTAAGGATATGACGTTGACGATTGCTCATCAAACATCCACTAAAAGTGTTATACATTTTCAACGTGAATGTAAATCATTGTTATTTCTCTTAAAATATCATTACTGCAACTATCATAATTTGACACGCCTAACTGATATTATGAACAAAGACCTAATTGATTGAAGTGTCAGTGAATTATTATATTGATTTCTTCTTGTTCAATCATCAATGACATTTAATCGTATATTAAGAAGTAGTCATATCAATTATATCTGTTGGATGTAGATGGTTAATTCTATGTTTACTCAGTAAATTATTAGTCAATTAATGTCAAGTACTACACAGCTAATGTATACAAATCTAACAGTTAATCCGTGTAAACCATATAGAAATTAATGTATTCAGATATTAATTTTTAATTTATTTTCGATGTCAAATAATTCCTTATCTAACTGTTTTCATATTCTTTCGTTGGATTGAGTGATTGAGTCATTTTTTATGTGAATGTGTGATACTTTTGGAGACAATTGGTATAGGAGTGTGTTTGTAGTGAGTGATGGATATTGGATGTTGTAGATGTGAGTGGTGTGGTTCAATTGTTTGTCTTTTGATTAGAATTGGGTTTGTTCGTGATTAAGTAGGTTAGTTGGGTAAGAGGCTAGTGGAGTTTGTATGATGGTTGTGCGTGAGTGTTGGTGTGTGAGCGTGTTAGTATGTGAGTGAGTGAACGACAGAGTTGTTGAGTTGTAGAGTGAAAATGTGAATATGTGTGAGATGTGTTGTGTTGTGTGTTGATTTGGTGTGAAATGAAAATTGGATACGTACCTGTTTGCATTAGTGTTGTCAGTGGTGTTTGCAGTGTGATTGATGCTGTTGACTGGGATTCTGTAGTGGGTATTGTAGGTGTGGTGTCGATCAAGTGTAATATGGATGTGGTTTGGTGATAGTGAGTTGGTTAAGTAACGTCATTAGTTGGATCAGAATAGACACTTGCTGAGAAGGAGCTGTAAGAAATGAATTTGTAGAGAGTGTGCCATGTTTATGATGACATAGAAATAAGGAGATGAATCGAGAGTTGTGTGAGGTGTGGTGAGAATGAGCAGGTTTGTAACTGAAGCGTGATGGTTTGGAGAAATCTTGTTTGTCTGTCTCTCTCTGTGTGTGTGGGAGACATTGGATAAAGGTTGAAGGAAGGGTGTGTGCTACTGATGCACTGAATGATTGGCAGACTGAGTGTTCGAGTGATGTATTGAATGTCGTATAGATTGATGGCCGGCTGTGATTGAGACATTGATTTATCGAGTGAAAGATGAAGTGTGTAATTGTGTGCTCATCCAATATAATTTTTCCAAATTACAATGGAAAGTCACAGATGATGAGATTCTGACATGTCAGGGGTGAAATAGTTATCATCAATGATACTAGATGATTGTCAGAGCATGTCGTAAATTGACCGAAGTTGATGTTTTGAATCCATGAGTGCCAACTCAATTGTTTAAATTTGACGTCTCTACCATGGGATTATAAAGGTCCTAGGTACAATCTTAAGTGGTGATGTGGTGAAGATAAAGGCGAAAATCAATCATATGACCTTTGCAATATCGATATTGTCCATATCAAAACTATACAAAGAACAATACTAAATTAACTCTACAAACAATCCGATTAATAACGGTAATTAATATGGTTAATCTATTTCAGGGATTTAAAATAGATAATATTTATACTAAAAAGAAAGCTTCAATGGTTGAGATCATGAGTCAATTTAAGCTAGACTACCATGGGTCGTAGATGAGCACTGCTGAGGAGTCCCACAGTAGGACGAAACGGTCGTTCAGTGCTTCTAGGTTTTCCATGGTGGTCTACCTTCAATTGCCTTATGATTCCAACCATTAAAATTACTAAAATCTCCACAAAACCTTTTCTGATACTAAAAAGAAAGTGATTACGATAAATTTATTCTCCTTCACACGAGTAAGATACGTCTATTCTGTATATGTGTATGTGTGGAGAAACGAAAACTTTTAACGAGAATCAGTACATACGTCTTATATTTTAGCTGGCATCATTAATAAATAAATGGGAAATAATCCGAGTATTATTCTTACATGAATAAATTTTTAACGATAAAGAGTATTTTCTGATGCGAATCCTTTAAAATGAGACTCATTTATCCCCTTCTCCTAACGTAATTCTAGATATTCAATGGAATCACTACTTTCTTCTTAATAGAAACAATGCTTTTCCGATTGTCGTAATATTGGAATTATGGGATCTATTGTTTCTATTTCAGTCAGCGAGGTTGATACTATTTCCACGAGGATACTTTGTTGATATAATATTTCAAACAGAAGAAAAGCCTGTTAAACAATTAACACTTCACATCAATGAAGTATTCTGTATTTTTGTAATCTGAGATAGCCACCAAATAAATAGTGTTTTTTTAATTAAAATAAGTACACAGAATGAACGAGTAAACAGAATAACCGAAAGCATTATTCGTAACCCTAAATATCTGATATCTCTTGGTGTCGAGGAGCTACTGTCGATGAATATGCTTACGCGGTGGATGCCTCTATAAATCGTGTGCCATTTCAAATTTCATTGTATTCATTTATTTATACAAATAAGTAGTGTTTTAGAAACGTAATTGTTTGTGTAACATGAATAAAACTGATAGTGCAAAAATAATTGGAATTATTTCCCATATTCATAAAACTTCAGTTTATAGCTGAGTGGAATAAGAAACAGAGAGGGAGAGAAACCATGACGTAATCGAATACAAGAAACAAGTGAAATTTTTTAATGATACAATAGGCTAATCAAAGTCATCAAATGACATGATTATATTGTATCATTTTGAAATCTTCTAATAACAAATACATGTGACTGGCCAAGAAATGGTTTCATTTTCCAAGGAGCTGATTGATGTCTACATCAATGAATGCTTATGTATTTGAGTATAGGAAGTTTGTGTATCAATGCCGGTCTGGAACACCATGTGTATAACATTTATAATTAGGGTAGATACAAAGATAAAATCGTTAGTAATCACTGAAAATTAATAATAAGATATTCATAACAATATTAATAATGTTATGATAAAATTCAATAATTTGGATAACCAAATTGATTAGTAGTCAAGCACTGTTTGGTGAATAGCATTAGACTAATAAAGCTAATTAGAATAATCATAAATTTTAAAAAAAATGAAATTCTTTTTACAAAACTAAACTATGAACGTGTTATTATGAATGAATAAGAGTTGAAGAATGTGTTGTAAATATTTGGAGAAGAATAAAAACAGAAACCAGTAACCGGTGAATTCATCGCAATAATAGTACTAATTCAATCTGTACATATTCATTAAACTACATATTTCATTGATTATTCTAAGAGTATATAATGCATTCATTATAATTAATTAAATGATAGATTACAGTTACTTTCTATGTACTACAGTTATTGATCTGACATAGTTATTTAACCTTAACTAGATAAGATTATCATTGAGTTTGATTAAATTTCTTAAATTTCATTCATAGTCATGTCATTGATACAAATTTATTTCATAACAGTGAATAGTTAGAAAATAAATAAATAAACACTGAACTAATGAAATACAAAGCTTTCAGTTTGACTAGTTAAATACTATATCCCGCCTGTTGGATATATCAACAGTGTAGCAGCAGTTTATGCATCAGTACGGCTCAACATACACAAGGGGAAAACCAAGGTCCTCAAATTCAAAACGAAGAACAGCAATCCAATCACACTTGATGATGAAACTCTGGAAGATGTAGAATCCTTCACATACCTGGGAAGCATCATCAATGAACAAGGAGGTTCAGATGCAGACGTAAAGGTGAGGATTAGCAAAACAAGGGTCGCATTCCTACAGTTGAAAAAACATATGGAACTCAAAACAACTTTCAACCAATATCAAAGTCAGAATATTCAATACGAATGTCAAGGCAGTTCTACTGTACGGA